CTGTCTTCTCCGGCGAGGGGCTCTGACGGCTAGGTTAGGGTTTGGGTGTGGATGAGGTTATTTATACCCATCCGCTTTTTGATCTGAGCCGTCCATCGCTTTTAATCTGGACCGTCCGATCGCGATTAAATAGGGAATGAATCTGGGTCGGTCATCGTGATTCAATCTGGGTCGTCCGTACGCAATTCAATCTAGACTGTCCGTGCGCGATGCAATTTGGGCCGTCCGTGCGCGTTTTTGATCTAGGTCATCCGTGCGCGCAGGAACGGATCTTAGTTGTTCGATCGCGCGCACATGGAACACCCACGTGGCTCCCTCTTGCGTGGCCTCCCACGTCAGTGTCTCTGCCACCTGGCACGTCCTGTTTGGTCGGGGCTGCTGACCGAGCAGCTGGCGTGGCACAACTTTTTTAAATTACATTTTGACCTCCGGTTTCTGATTTTTCTTTCAAAAATACCCCCAAAACCCAAATTTTCACCATTTTTTCCGAAAATTATTTTCAATTAAATCTCTAAATAATTTTTACCCCTTATTATTAGTATTATTATTATTATTTCCATTAAAATAAATTAAATTCTATTAATACTAGATTATACTTATAAAGAATAGTATAATATAATAATAATAAAAATGAAAAGAAATTTTTGGGTGTTACACCACATATCTCCCTATCTCTCCTCCTGTGGCCTCCCCTCCATACGCCTCCATTCACACTCACCAACTCCTCTCACTCACAGCCCGCACTCACACACACCGCACTCCTTCCCTTCCCTCCTCCCGCGGCCTAGCCTCCTCCATACGCCCCCGTTCACACACAACATCTCCTCTCTCTCACCGACCCACACACACCGTACTCCTTCATTTCTCTCCGCCCGCGACCCAGCCTCCTCCATACGCCCCCGCTCACACATCATATCTCCTCTCCCTCACAGACCACACTCACACACACCGTACTCCTTCATTCCTCTCCTCCCGCTGCCTGATTTCCCTCATGCGCCCTCGCTCACACACAACCTCACTCTCCCTCACAGGCCTCTCTCCCATGCCACACTTCTTCTTCTTCCTCCTTCCGCGATCTCCTCCGCACACCTCCACTCACACTCATACCAACTTCTCCACCTACGGCAAGTTTTCAAATACACATCCACTAAAAGGAAACTTAAAATTACCGTACCTCTCATTTCCATCTTCCTTCCTCCCGCTGATCGCACCGTCGTCGTCTTCTTTCTTCTTCTCTCTCCCTTCTCGTTCCGCTCCGCTTCGGCTTCTCTCTCTCTCTTTCTCGAACCTTCTTTTCCCTCCCCGCTCTCTCTCTTCTCTGCTTTCTCTTTTCTTTTTCTTTTTCCTCCCTGGTATCTCCCTTCTTATTCCTCTCCGCTTCGGCTCCTCTTTCTCTCTTTCTCGAACCTTCTTTTCCCTCCCCCGCTCTCTCGCTTCTCTGCTTTCTCTTCCGTTCTCTCCCTTCTCTGTTTTCTCTTTTTTTTTCTTTCTTTCCTTTTCCTCCTTTTTTCTCTTTTTTTTTTTTTTTTTCTTTTTTTCCAGTTGTTACATACATTATCCCAATCTTAATCCTTCTTAATAAAAAAGTTTCGATATATTATAATTTTTCAATAAAAACATTTATGCTTATTATAAAATTAAATATACAAAATATTAAAATTTAAAAATATTCTATCTGAGAAACTTGAATATTAATAATTTGATTAAAAATTCATAATGTATAAAAATTATATTGACTGAATAAATTCTTTAAACTGAAAAATTATATTAATATAAGAATATTTTTCATATCAGTTAATCCTCCCTGTCAAATAAATTACATTTTAAAAGAAAAATTATGATAATTTATAATACTTTATTTTGATTCAACAAAACTTTAATCGCTTCAAAAAAATTCAATTAATCAAATATCTCCGGTAATATTTTTAGAAGACAAAATTTTAATAATACAATATTTTATTTTTGCTCAGTAAAACTTTGATTATATCAATATAATTTTAGAGAGAGAGAGATATATATATATATATGTAAATACAAAATCCTCAGTTTTTAAGAATTAAAATCATTTAATTTTTCAAATTCCAGGAACATGATTCATTGAAATTAACTAGACAACAAATTTGACTCTCTGTTCACCAGGCACGCATACTTTGCCAAGAGGGGCTGCTATGAATGAGTCCATTGTAAATGTTATTATACTTGGTTTAGTTTTTTAGGGATCTTCTTTTTTAAAGAAAAAAAAAAGAAAAATTATGCACCAATTTATATCGTTGGTCTTGTCGGACTCTAAGATGGGATATTATAACAATAAAAAAATGAATTCTTATTTTGAAAAATATTTAAATGACTTCATTAAATATTTTTGATTTTTTAATTTGTTAATTTAGTAACATATTAAAATAAATAAATTTAAATACATTGGTACAACGTGGTAGCTAAATCATTAATTTTAATAATGATTGCTCTATTTTTTAATATTTTACTTATGTAGTCATCAATTTTTATGTAGTATTTAGCACATGGGGGGTTTTAAGCTTTTCAAATAGTACAGAATTTTAAACTGATATATTAATTCTCGTGACAATTATATTGTCAATTTTAATAACATGATTGCAACCCGATTACAGTGTATCTAAAATTATTTATATTAACAAGTAAATTAATTAAATGATTGACTGAAAAAATGAAAGGTCAATAATTATTTATATTAACAAGTGAATTGGACACCAGTTTTATTTCCTTTTTTTTTTTTTTTAATGGTTGCAATAATGTTCAATAAATAGTAAAAAGTTCACCAACTATTTGATGATATTCTATAATAATTTAATAAGACGAAATATCCAAATTGATGGAAAATATAACAGAAAAGTACATTATTGGACAAATATAATTAAACACCATTGATTATTATTGGTTATTTATTCTGAAAATTTGACTATAATGCATAATAATTTAATAATACGTGATGGAAAATATAAAAGAATAATATATAATTGGACAAATATAACTAAACACCATTAAGCATCATTGCTAATTATTTAGCTCTTTAAATGTAAGAGTTTGTAACTGAGTTTTCTTCTTCTTTTTCTTTTTTAAGGGGTCAGCTTAATTATACAACGACTTGTTGCTATTCAGAGGATAAACGGCTCCAAATGCCAAAATTGCAACATATAACGCAAAAAGTCTGGTGAATGCAAAACAGAGACATATATATATATATATATATATATATATATTGGGTTAAAATTTTATGAAGTAAAAGTAGTAATTTTATCAATGGATAAAAGAATTATTAATTCTTTTTTTTTTCCTTTTATAGATTAACATAATTTTCTAATTGTCGAATATGCAGCCTACCACCATTTCTCCTTCAATGATTCCTTTTTTTTAATTAAAAAAAAAAAAAAGGTTTTACGATGCAATTTAATAGATTCGTCATTATTTTTTATTTTTAATAAAAATTAAAATAGTTATGTTATATTTAAACATTTTTAATAATTTAATTAATCCGTCAAAATTATTATATTAATTTTATTACTAAATTAATATTTAAGTTTTCTAAATATAAGATAACTATTTTAATTTTTTTATTAAAAAATTAAACGAAATTAAAAGTTTAAAACAAATAAAAAATTTTAAGAAGGAAATATAAATTAGATAAATTAAATTATTCTTAATAGAAATCCCAATCCCAATTATAGTTACACTAGGAGATTCAAATATCTGATTCTATATTTATTAAAATACCCCCAAAAAAAATGAAAAATATAATTTTTAGAAAATACCCCCAAAAAATAAGGAAAAAAAAAAAAACTGTTTCTGGAAGTAAATTACGCTTTCAATGATTGTTTCCAGTTTTGGGAAGGGTTTACAGATGACTAGATGATTGCTATTGCGGAAAGCCGTCAGTGACCGTGGGAAAAACACAACCAACGTGCACTCCCCTCCACGAGCCGCCACGTCGTGGCTGAGACAAATTCCAATTGGCGCAAAAACGCGTAGCTTTCATAAATTACAATTACGATCCCGTAATCTATATATTTAAAAGAAAATTACAATCCCGTAATCAGAGCATCCATTGATGGTGCGTACTGCGCACCCCACCCCCCCGCTCTTGCCCCCGCGGTAAAATGTTCCTTCCACCACCACCTGAACTCAAAAAGCTCCTTCTCTGGATCTTAGCCGCCTCTCTCTCTCTCTCTCTGCCTTCGTGTCTACAAAATCCAAAATAGAAGGACAAAATAAAATCCTCCTCTCAAATTTAGCTAAGAGATTAAGAAAAAAGCCACGAAAAAAGAGGATTGATTTGCTAAACTACTGAGATTTTCCTCGAAATCTTACGGTTAATTGGTCCGATCTCCAGTCGCCGTCCACCATTCATCTGATCTAGTGCTTCGATCATGTGAGAGGCAGAAGGCAACTGAGGGAAGTGATCAAATCGAATGGCCTCGATCCGACGAACTCTCTCGCCAGCCTATCACGACCGTCCGTACCAGAACGGTACTGCACCTTCCCCACTCTCCGCCTCGCCATCGGACAAACTGTTGCCCAACGGTAGTGGCAACACTGGCGGTTACAAATACTACTACTCTCCACATTTGCCTTTGTTTTTCACTGCTCTGCTAAGCCGATTTCTCGGCGCGGTCTTCTTACCGAAGAACTCCCGCAAGGGAGGATCATGGAGGCGGCCGTTTGGCCATTGCGCGGTGCTGTTCATGTTGGGATTCCTCTTAGGAATGATGCCGTTTGGGCACGTCTTTGAAGACGCCAGCACCCGCGACTTCTCGTTCGAGATTAAGCCGCCGTACGTCAACGTGCGGCTAAACGAGGAGGCTGCCGATGTCAAGGTTAAGCGCGAGGAATTGCTGCTCGATACGGTGAGCTTCGGGGTTCGCGCGCAAGTGGACGAGATCTCTTCGTCGAGGTTTGACTACGTGCCTAGGAAGCCGATAATTGTGGTGACGGCAACTTATAATCGGGCGATGCAGGCTTATTTCTTGAACAGGCTCGCGCAGACATTGCGGCTGGTTCAGCCGCCGCTACTTTGGATAGTGGTGGAGGCCAATGGGGCCTCGTTCGAAACAGCCGAGATACTGAGAAAGACCGGGGTTATGTATAGGCACTTGGTTTGCAGCAAGAATTTGACCAATGTTAAGGACAGAGGAGTTCATCAGAGGAACGTGGCTCTGGAGCACATCGAGCTGCATAGGCTCGATGGAATTATCTACTTCGCTGATGATGATAATATATACTCGCTTGAGTTGTTTGAGAACTTAAGGGAAATCAGGTAGTTAAGATTTTGTGTACTTTTGGATATGATATTGTCTTCTTCTTCTTCTTCTTCTTCTTCTTCTTCTTCTTCTTCTTCTTGTTATTAGTGTTCTGATCCTGTTTTATAGCTGCCACAATGGATGATACTTTTCCTCGCAATATGTGAATGTATTATATGTCGGCATATGTTTTTGTTCGTAATAGGTGAAGAGATGGTGGGTCTAAATTTGGATATGCTTTTGCTTTTCGTGGTGTTAAAAGTTACATCACGAAGAAGTATCTAGCGCTCGGAATTCTCTCCTATGGGCAATTTCTGCCTGTTGCACTTAGTCTTCCTTGGATTTGTTTGTGGCAGTCTGCTAGTTCTTCATGATCAAGTAATTGTTTTCACTCTTCATTTATGCTATTCTTGTCATTCCTGTAATGGAGCATGAGGCTTGTTCATTAGATAGCAGTTCTGCAGTTGGTTGACATATGCGCAGTATTGAGTTGGTACTAATTGCCTTCTGAATGTGAGTCAACTTAGCCGTCTTGCCAAAACCAGGTCTAAGAACTAATGGAAATATATTGCTCCCCTCCCTCTATCTCTTTGTCTGTTCTTATGCCTGAAGTTCTTGATGTAACACCTTTGAGGACTGGGGTTTAGATTATAATTCCTTTGATTTTCACGTATTTATATTTTGTTTTGGATTTTTTTGGCATGGGTTCTAACTCTTGATGTTCAGCATTAAATCTGTGGACATATTAGAGCCATCTAATTGTCTGACGCTAGGATTGTTTATATCTCAACTAGCAACTTTGTTATCAGCATTTCATTATTTGCTCATTTTTATTTTTTTCCTGTCCTGCCTTTCCTATATATACTTCCTGCTCTTACTCTTTCTTTTATGTGGTCATTATGTAGCTGCTTAAGAAGAGTCAGATATACACTTGTTATTACAAGTTTGTGGATGACTAAAGTTAAAACCCTCATAAAAAAAAGGGATGACCGGAACTATTTAGTTGTCTCCTCAAGGTCTTAAATTAATTCTCGTCTTTTAAGCTGTTGGTAGTTAATTTATTAGGGTTGGATGCTCTGGTTTAAATTACTAGTTATGTGCTTAGCTAGACAATAGAACAAGAGAAAAAGGGAGAAGGTACAATGGATGTTGTATTTCGCATAACTACCACAAACTATATTTTTGCTTTATTCTCACATATTTCTTGATGCGAAAAGGAAATCATATTTGCAGTTTGATATCTCTTTTCTACTATGCTAACCTCTTCTATTTTCGATTTCTGGTGTAGCCGTTTTGGTACTTGGCCTGTTGCCATGCTTGCGCCAAGCAAAAACAAGGCAATTTTGGAAGGTCCAGTATGCAATGGAAGTCGAGTAATTGGATGGCACACAAACGAGAAAAGTAAAAGACTTCGTAGATTTCATGTTGACATGTCAGGATTTGCTTTTAATAGCACTATACTATGGGACCCAAAGAGATGGCATTGTCCCTTTTCAAACCCAATTCGGCAATTAGACACTGTGAAGGAAGGCTTTCAAGTATGCATAAAATTTTGTGCATTTTATGGATGCTTTTCTGTGATACCGCATTGAATGTGTAGAATGCTTATGTTTGTCATGCAGTCTTATGATCTGTATGCTGGTATTATGTTTTTGTGCAGGAAACTACATTTATAGAACAAATAGTGGAAGATGAAAGTCAAATGGAAGGTATACCACCTGGTTGTTCCAAGATTCTGAACTGGCATCTTCATTTGGATGCCTGTGGTCTTGCTTATCCTAAAGGCTGGATACTTCAGAAAAACCTTGATGTTGTACAACCTGTCATGTGATTGAATTTCAACCCCAAAAATTTTATGCCAAAGCCTTTGATTGGTATGATTTTTAACTGGACTTTATGCACTTTAGTTGTCAGTATTTTCCGTTATCAACCCTTGAAACTAATTCAAGCTTCAAATTTAAATAATGAAAAACAAGAACCTCAGATATCTTGGCTATTTTGATCCTTTGGTAGAAGGAAAAAAGGAAAGATGCAATTTATTGATCAATATAATCATTTAATGGTCTCTATTTTTGCATATTTGTCCCTTGGAAATTGGAATCCGGCATAATTTGTGAATATTTTGCTGAAATGTCTTCTAACCTAGCGTGGAGAAAACCTTGGTTCTCATTCTGTTCCTTTTTACCTAGGTGTCTATTGGCTCTAACTTCATGTTGGTGGATCTTCCTCGGAAAGAGTATTGCTTCACTTGCTACCAACAATGTTAAGGCAGCACCCTCATACTTGTATAATGAGCTCTGAAAAAATGATGAAGAAACAGAAGACTGATAAATTTCTTTGTAGATTTTTTCCAATGATGTTCTTTCACAGAGGAAGAAACTTGTTTTATGGTAGAGTTCTGGTGCATTTAGTTTTTGTTTTCTTTTGTTGGGGTTAGAGGAGTGGGTAATTGGTGTTGGGGGTGGGGTGAGGTGGGGAAGGGATGTTTGTGGGGGTTGGGTTGATTGCTAAAATTTTTGGGACATATTAGACACAGAGGAAAGGTCTCGTTAGAAGCAGGCGTTTGATGTGGTGTTGTAATTTGTTGTTGATCCAATACATTGTATGTGACACAGGCGTTTACCAATATCATTCCTTGAGAAAAATACAGAACTTATCATGCCCTTGGGGCTGGTATACTCTGTTTATATTGCTATTGGTTTTTGTAAGTGAGTGTGGACCCATTTTTTTAATTGTTAGCTCTATGTTTGGTAAGTAAGTCTTGCTTCTGCTTGTCAGTTGGTCTTCCTACAGTTTTGCTAATAAATCAAGATCTTATGACCTGACCTACGTACAGCTAGATTGCTTAGATTATGTTTAGACAATGGAAATGACAAAATCTTAAAAACTTAAAGCTCTCTGTCTCCGCTTCCGATTTTTAATTATTTTCCGAATTCCCCCATTATTAAACCATTAATATCATCCAATAATTGAGTAGAACATTATCTAGTAAATCTGTACTAAAAAATATTATTAATTACTGTATGTTTTGTTAAATTAATATTCAGTATTAAAATCACCGCAGTAGAGTCCAATATCTCTAATGCGAATTACATTTGATCAACTTCATAGCCCGATACAATTACTGATATTATTTGGAGTCTTGACAATGAGCTGCAATGCGTAACTATATTGTTTCTCTTTCACCATCCATCCATCTTTAATGTATTACATTGTGAAAAAATAAATAAATAGCTCAACGTGCTACCTTCATTAAGAAACTTTCACTTCTCATATTTCACCTAAAATTATTTTTAAGATGGCAAAGCAGGTTACTATGCATATTCACAATTTGAAATTGGGGTAATCAAGTCTATTACACATTGTATATGGCTTTTAACCAATGGCACCTAAAAATACATAGATCATATTCCTATTTTAATCTACCCTTCAAAACCAAGGTCCCCTCTAGGCCATATAGCTATTTAAGGAACAGCATCAATGGCTTCTTAAGAAGTCATTGTCCATGGTATCAAAGCGAGGGATGGTGATTTGGAGACGGAGGGTATGAGTACCTGACTATCAGCTATTTAAGGCTCTATCAACCAACCCGATGAGGGACACACCAATTACACTTCAGATGAAAATTTTAGAACCCATCGATTAGGCCAATGGGGAAATTTTAAAATTTTTAGACAATAACATTGAGGGAAAATTACAACTATGGAACAATTCTCCCCCATTGCAGCTGAGGATGGGGAACTTCAAAAATTCCTCATGATTGTGGCGATTCCTTGGCTGGGTTCCACTGGTCAATTAATTCACTGCTAGTTTCTTTTTCTCTTTGCCTCTTCCCAGCAATAAGAACCATCTGTTGATGGCCTGACCAACTTTGAGATAACATCCAGAATATTCACATGGACAATCACTAGTAATTCCTTTAAGCTATCACGTTAATGTCGTCCCATTCACAGAAGAGCTTGCATCTGAAGGGTGCAACCGTGAGACACGTTGTTGTTGCATTTGTGGTTCATTCACAAGACCAAGTACAGCAAGTGTGGATCTGCCAAAATATAAATTGCCATGGGTTAACCAAAACATAAAATCAGGGATAGACTTCCAATTGAGATTTTAACAATATAAACGTAAAACAATTCTTTGTTCTGTTCTAATAGCCTCCATTCAGCAGCCAATTAAAATCTGGTGTCCACAGTCTCAGATGCAAAATTATGTGATTATAGCTGCATATAGGTTCAAAATTTTTTTTTTCTCTGTCCTTTAATCTCATCAAGAAAAGTTTACAAGAGTCTAGGGATATCTGCGAGATTTTGGATTTCTACTAAAATCCACTACTAAAATAACACCCTTTACTTTTTCTTCATATCCCAAGTCTCCAATATAACCAGTGTCAAATCGCGTGAAAAATCACTCTCTTCCTTAGACAAATGATTAACAAAAATAAGTAACAGAGAACCACTAGACTTCTTCAAAAACTTATCGGCCATTGATCAGATCTATCAAAATTATACCTTGGCACTGAAGGTCTAATACTTGGTTGGTTGGCATAAGCAGCTAGAGGACCTCTGAGGCTAGTGTATTTGTTCAGAGCACCTTCAAGTTGTGGAGATGGTAACTGCAATCAACATAGATTAAGAGCTTTCAAACCAAAATACAGAATATAGGACGTATTCAGTGAGAATTAGATAAAGAATGAAAATGAAGAAACATATCCTATTTACATTTTCCACTGTTTTCTTCCATGCCCACGCATACAACATTTTATTATATAGGCATGTAAGAATATTCAATGCACACAATACATATATGTATATATGCACATACGTGATTGATATACATGCATACATATTATATGTATGTTCATAAATAAGTATTCATTTGTAAGCATAAGCATATATATCCATGTGCAGACATCGAAAATAGTATTTGTTTGTGTATATATATGTGTGTTCTTATGTGTGTGTATATATATATATATCCCAAAAAATGTTTGAGATAATAATGAAAACATTTTGTTATTATTTGAAGTCATGCCATATTTCTTTTTTAAAAAGTTATTTCTGGACTACCACATTTTTCTATTATTAACATTTGTATATCTATATGCACATCTAGATACATATATACATAGATTATAGATATATATATATGTATAACATTATATGCATTTAACAAACATACATAAATACACTTACACATTACAATCAATATGTAGGAATTATACTAAATGTAAAATAGTTAAATAATTAAAAATAACTTAAATAGAGAATAACTAAATAGCATCATAACTAAATAGGAAATAATAAACTCATAGTATTAGTAAGTCCATAGTAATTTTTAAATAAGTTAAAGACCTTGATAATACATAAAATATTTTAATTACAAAAATATCTCTTACTGTAATATGTCCACTTAAATTTCTTCTTGTTCTGCATAAATATGCATATAGAAAATTCAAGATACATTTTAGAGTGTGTTATAGTAGTTAAGAATATTTTTTAAATCAACAAAAAAAGAAGAGTTTAATAAGAAATTACGAATAACATTTTAATCGCTTCCAAACTCATCTTACAACATGACTTTCATTTTCAAACATTGTTTTTATTCACTTATTATATTATGTTTCTTGTATAAGCATACAAGAAATCTACAAAAGAAAATTTCAGCAATATTTCATGTACCAAATGAAGTCTTCTTTCCAACCGAAGTAGAAATAGAAAACCATATCTGTATAGAAAAAGTTTCTACAAAAATTTTCCTGAACAACCCTTGGTTCACCACAACTAAATAGACCAATTCTCCACATTCATTAGAGCATTTAATACCTGTAGTAATACTGGAAAAGAATGTGGCTGCGTTTGAGAAACACATTTCAGGAAACCAACCCACAACTTTGGTAGTCTCCAGACCTGCAATCAAAATATTCAAAAAGAGTTGGTTGTCACCATGTGAGACTCTAGCAACCTATCCCCCAAGAAGCTAGAATACAGTTAGTATTGTCATCTTATAATTGTCTTGCATTTACTTCAAACTATAGGCCCCACCAGCTCACCTGTTTGATCACAAGTTTGGAGAGGATTTCCATAACAAAATCGACCTGAACAAGGTTCCGAACAATTAGATAATAAATCTAAATATCATTTTATAATGTTAGTTGTGAATCATGGCAATACTGTATACAGGCAAGCAAACATATGTTCAAACCCATTTCTGATAAAGTTGCCAAATAGATGTTTAGGTATTAAACAGGAAAAAGAACGAAGAAAGATATCATAACATAATCCACAGTCATCTCAGTTCCTAACCATTTAAAGTTGTGACAAAAAATCATCCTCCCGGTAATTATGATTTTTTTAGGAAAAGGAAAATTCTGAGATTGTGTAACTACTTTTTTCCAACAATATTTCATGTTTTGGCTCCGATGAGTATCATTTTCATTGGATGCTGAGACACATTAGTCTATCGATCCACGATGAAAAATGGTCCCATAACATCATTCTCATATATTCTTTAAATATTTTTTTAGGACAAATTGTAACTGCCAGAAAAACTATATTTCAGAAATTTCAAATTTCGGATAGAAATGAACCACAGTATAATATGAGAATACCTATTACAGAGCTGGGCTGCAGAAGAAAATTAGAGTTTTTTATGGTTTTTTTCCGCTGACTTGAGATTTAGACAGAAGTTGTTTCGGTGTCTTTTTGGGATGATGATAGAAGTGGGATGTTACCCCTAAAAGGCCAAAAGTTCCAGATCCTACAAAAAGTCTAGGTTTCAAAATGCATCTATTGAGGACAGCTGCTGCAGATGGTGGATAAGAATGTGGTCTGGAATATTCAGCTGCTGAGGAATTTTAACGTGACCTGAACCTATAATTAAATAACATAAATTAGTTGGCTGGCCAATAACATTTATTTTTATATGAAATACACTGCCAAGCATGAGGGATCTAACAGATGAGGGATGGACAGGTTCCTGTGTATTATCCATATTTGCTTTTTTTTGGCATGGGAAGCAGTTTGGAAGTTGACATGGAAATCAAGACACAGAACAATCAGATAAAGAGTACAATTTACCAGAGTTGGAAAAGCATCGATTGCTTGAATTACAGTTCTCATGAAGAGTAGAGGCAGAGGTGTCTGATCGACCTGAAACCGGAAGTAATAACTAAAGACATGGGAAAGTCAATATTAATTTCATCCTGTATTTATAAGTGACATTATCATACCATCTGATTTAAGGCCTTTGCCAAGACCTGCTGTGTGAAAACTGTACGTTGCTCAAAACATGCCGAACAAGCATCCATTATCTGAAAACATAACAAATTTCATCATTACAGGGCACAAGAAAATGCAAAGAAATCACTCAAAATCTCCCTAACATGACCTTTGCATAGTCAAAATCTCACTAATGAGATAACGTGATATTTGCAGGGCAAAAATGCACCAGAAAGGACATGAAATTATGAACTTGATCAACTGAGTTGCATTCTGAGGTTGGAGTTTAAAGTTGGAATGCTGCATGGATTCAACCCATATCTAACCTGACTAAAAGGTGACTTTTGGGACAACTTCTATAGCTGCTAGATTAAAATCATGTCTTAACGTATATTTTCTGAGTGTCCCAAACTCAAATTGTGGTTTATAATATCAGGAAACAACAATTCATGATGTAAGTATGAATGAGTGGATGAAACAGAGAACTTAAATTATTTTATGCTGACAAAGTCCTCCATGGGAAATGTGAAAGAAATTAGCATATAATAAATTGTCTATGACTGTCAAATAGATGAATAAAAAGCTAATCATCACCTTCAAGAAGGAAATGAGGAATAATATTTGAAAGCACCAATGTGAAGAAAATACTGCTATGTAGCTGAGGGAAAAGATTAACAAAAAATAACTGCCAAACCTTTTTTTGAGAATAATTCAAACGTTCAAAACAAAGCACCCTGCAGCTATGTAAGTTTCCATATTTATTAGTTTCTATAGATAGACTATATGATTTATGTCAATTAGCTTCATATAGGAAAAAGTTGTTTTAGCACACTCAGGGGGGAAGGTAAAACCCAAAGGGCGGTACAACATGCAGATGCAATGGGAGTTCACAACTATTGGCAGCCAACTAAAAAGAAATTATGACTTAAAGGCTTTTACGCTAAAACAGTTTCCTCGAGTAGAAACTGAAACTTGTTTAAATGAAGAATTCATCAACTCTGGAAGACAAAAATACTACCTTTTTGAGTGGAAGACCATCTCTCTCGGGAGAGATGTCATGGATGGCAACTAGTACTTCAGCAGGTGTTAAAGCTGGACCTGTATGAGCAGAACCCTGCCATGAACAGTTATGAAATGTTATCAATTATACAACCACATTGGAAGGCCTGCCTTATAGTTACCAGTTAGCAGTTTTGCCAAAAGAATCAAAACCAAGAGAGGACTTCTAATGTCAAAAATTATTTAATAAGAAATCATAGAATGTCATTGGAATGTTAACCAACTTATACATGTCCACACACGAGGATCCTCAATGTGTTGACCAGTAACCTACATGTCAGCAGAAAGAGGAGTATTACCCTATGATTTGTGTGACTGCAGTCATTCATTAAATTTTTTTAGACGAGTCATTCATTAAACTTAAGGTGGGAAGAATGATAACTTTTTTTTGAGAGGGGAAAGAATGATATAACTAGCTATAACTAATAAAAAAAAATCACACACAGAGTATTCACAGATACCTGTAGTATGTGCGCAAGCGCCATCTGGAACTTATCTAATGGAAGGTTGACAAGCCGAGGGAAAATAGGCAAAACCTGTGATCATAAAATGGTAATCACAGCACACATGACAAAACTTTAACATCAAGTTAAAAGCAAGGAAACCTGAAAATTAGTTCTTATATATTACACCTCCCCTTCCTCCCAAAAGAAAATGAGAAATGAACAACAAAAGGGATAAGAAACTATTCCATCCTCTGAAATAAGAAGTTCAAAACGAATCAGGCTTATGGTTTAACTAAAATAACATGTAGATTGTTAAGAACCACTCTTAACAGCAGCATAGATCATATGTTGTTCGCACTACTGATTCCATACACGTCAAAACCCCTAATGGGGACATTAACGCTCCTTAGTCGACAACATTAACACATAAACCTTGTGGGAAGTCTTGCCAACAACTTTTGTATAGTTTCTAATGAAATGCATTGCTACAATCATGTAACAGAGAAACCAAACAACCCTCACCACAGAAACAGAACAAATAAACAAGAACAAGAAGAAAGATTAATTAAATTCAGAAACAAACCTCATTCTTGGAAAGTGATGATAGCATTGGAATAAGAATCATGACATCCTGCAAGATAACAATAGTTGCAAAAAGGACTGAGCTTCATTGGCTTAATTCGAGTATACGGCAGAACATAGAAGCTTTTCGTTATTAGAAGAACCTTTAGTTTGGTCTCATATAAATGTTTAACAGCAGCTATTAGTTCAGAAGAAGGCGTAGTCTCTTGTGTCAATATTTGCAGCACCTTTTCAAAACCAAACCATTATCAGCATAATCTAGGAACAAGGGAAAAGAGAAAAAAGTTAACAGATTTAAATGAATAGAAGACAATGTACCAGGGTCAAAAGATTTTCACTTCCTTGTGGTGGGTCAGAAATTATATGGAGCAGCTCAGAATATGATGAACCTAAAGCCCTTATAAGAATAGGGACATGCCGATGAAAAGCCTGGATCAAGCCGATGAAGTAACAATTAGACATTCTTAGCAAAAGAGTTTGCCAATGACAGCCCTTCTCTCCAAAAGATTAAGTCAATCATGACGCAGAGAGACAAAACTATGTTGCAAAGAAATTGAGACTATATTATGCTGGTTTCCCTACAACCAGGCCAACATAACAGTGGCTTTTAGGGCAGAATTTAGCATAAGACCAAAGAAATAGTTACTCTAACAAATCACTGTCTTATTTCAACCACCAAAGATAGTTTAAAAATAAATTTTAGCTACCAGAGATTGGACTGGGAAACACATGATAAAGAGTGTAGCTTAATTTGGCTAATCATCTTTATAAGCATGGATCATTTTGGCCCAGATAAGACATTACCTGTTTTACAGTTTTCGGAGCTTCCCCATAAATGTCAAATATAAGTTGAAGGAGACTAGGTTTCTGAAACAAAAGAAAAATCTGTCAGCAGTAGCAAAACAGAACAGAAGTTATTTTTCCATAACATTCACAATTATCAGTTTGTACACGAACTCAGACCTTTGTACATAAAGCAAAAAATAAAGAGATGAGTCTTTGAGCTTCAGGAAAGGACATGGTTGAAACATTCTGTGTTGGAGGTTGAGCATCCCTTGTGGAGTCACCTTCTGAAGTTCCAGTCTCAGAAACTTGGGAGCCACTAATAGATGGGTTCTGGCTTCCAACCTTAAAAAGGAAATTAAAGCAGAAAAGGGGACAAAAAAGTTAGAAACTGAGTAAACAAAAAGAAAGTACAAGATATCCCA